TGTTTGTGGTTGGTTGTGGTTGTGAGAGACTGGACTCCAGCAGCCAGGTGTTCCTAGGTTGGAAATCTGAAGCCTTTGTATCCAAAAGAAGAGATTTTTAGAGAGAAAACATTTCAGTTCTGCTTCCAGTGATGGCATGCATATCATTAACAGTCAACAAACAAATCCAACTCAATTCCAGTTCATGTCTTCACCCACAAGACCAATTCCGTCTTTTACGATCAAATTTTTCTGCAGAGCCTCGAAATTGTTTTGGGACACCACGAAGAAATCCTTGCCCTCATTAATAATCCGCACATGAAGCAGAAGCTGTAGCTTAAAACTAGACAAACCTATGCTCCAGAAAAAGACATCTGGACACAAAGGAAGTTTATCAGTGGAGTCTGTCCTCAGCTTGTAGTGTGAATGTTAGAAGCCACCTTGGTGATAAACCTCAGTGCAGGGCACTCCTTCTCCTACATGTGAGAGCATTTGAGATGAGAGAAGAGGTTTTGGCCCACATGGTAAGAAAAGCTCTTAGATGAGTACATCCTGATGCTTATCCAGCATAGTTAGACAGATAAGAATTACTGATCCAGTCAGCCTCTGGCACAACAACATGCACATTTAGCCAATTCATGCAAATGCTGTATTATATTATCTTGGCACTTCCTCAGCACTGGTTCCCCAGAGAGAAAACTCTGTTCCACGGTGACATCAGCTGAACCTCAAGTGTGATGGAAGCCTCAAAAACTACTTAATTTTTAATTTTTCTGAAAACCAGACTGCCATCAATTGTTACACTACAGTTAAAAAAAAAAAGAAGAAAAAAAAAACAACCTTAGTGTGCCATGATCATAAATCCTAAATTTTCCTTCTCTGGGATACATAATACTGTAGATATTTTTTCTGCTTTGTGTTCAGTCCTATTCATCAAGAATTTCCGGGAGAGTTTTAATTTACCAAGAGGGTACCACTTTTTATTGTCCTATGAATGAAAACATTAGCAATGCAAAAGGATGACAGTATACATTTTGAAATAACCTGTAGGGCATAAACTTGGGATATTTGGTGGCAGATAAGCAGTTTCCATTGTCAATTTCTTTTTTGCCATTGAAAACAAAATTAATGGAATGCACAGTAATTAGTATAGCACTACTCTACAGTTTGAAGGAAATGTAGCAAACTGTGTTGCAGTCAGTAGAAGAATTAAGGACCGGATTTTCATCTGGTTCTGCAGTATAACTGTGTTGTGTTAGCATCTATATCTATTGCTCTGAACCCAAATGTCACACAGGCACTTTGACCCTTGTCAGCTCAGGCTCTTCTGCTGGACTGTGCTCAGAAGAGTTTCCAAGAGCACACAGCTCCATTCAAGTTCTGGAAACAAATGCGACCAACACTGCTAAGGCTAGCAGGCGAAGCTGGCATCTGCAGAGCAGCTCACTACGTATTAATGAATCTTGAGCAGCAACAAACAAGACGGGGAGATTCACCACACAAAGTGTGTTAGAAAGGACGCCAGGAAACCTCGATGTTCTCAGATCAGAGGCAAAAGCCGGGAGGCTCTGCCCGAGCTGCAGGCACTCCTGTAGCTCCACGCTGCAGCGTCAGCGTTGGTGATGAGCCAAAGGCCTTCAGGCCTCCTTGTTGCCTGGAGGATATAAATGAAAGTCAGCAAGTGAAAAGGTGCAAGAAGTGCAAAATTGCATCATGTCTTTCCAAACTGTGCTCGTGAAGTAAATGAGACTCATTTCTTTCCATGCTATATTGAGATAATTTTTTATTTTCCTTGGCTTATGAATGTTCTTTGTTCAATTTTCTTGTGTGTGTACTTTACAGTACCTTGGGATGCCTGAGGTGATTTATAAATATGTGTAGATACCAGGTGTACTGCCAGATGTTTATGTCCCTTTACAACAAGGTTTCATCATCCCTTCCAATGGAATGTAGGTCTTATATTATTTTTTCTAATAGAGGATCAACTGAACTATTGGGTATTCATAAGTTTTCCCTCTGAAAGTTTTTCTCCTTAATTCACTCTCTATCATCTTGTTTCTATATTTATCATAATGCTAAGTCTTTAAACCTAAGTACTTTTAAAAAAATTAGAGTTCCTTTCACATTAAAAAAAATACCAGACAAATGTCAACAGTTCCAGGTTTAAATCAATAAAGCCTTACTCACTGCCAAAAAAGATTTTTAATCTTAAAGTGTTACCTACACTCACTTTTTCTGTTTCTCTCCATCTCCTATTTAGAAATAGTTAAAAAACCGTGTTTTATTATAACAGCTCTATTAATCTTAAAGTGTTACCTACACTCACTTTTTCTGTTTCTCTCCATCTCCTATTTAGAAATAGTTAAAAAACCCCCTGTTTTATTATAACAGCTCTATAAGTGGTAATTGCAGACCATTCTCTTAACTATGAGGAGAAAACCAATAAAGGGCCTTTGGACCGTCTATCACACTGATGTCTGCGTGTCCTTAGCCCGAGCGGCCAAAAGCATTAGGCCGTCGTGCTGCGTTTCCTTGGAACCAGGTCGCTACAACATATAAATGGTAATTGCAGACCATTCTCTTAACTACAACTGTAGTGAGAAATAACCTGTAGCCCCAAGAGGAACCAGGCTACACAAAACAGACAAAGCAATTTGCTGGAGGTCATACAACCAAATGACAGAATGGAAAAGAGAGTGCAACCTGATTTAATTAGAAGTCAGCATTGTAAATACTAGATGAGGGACAGTAAATTTTTTTCTCAGTACATCTTAAAACATAAGGAGGCAAGTTCTTGTATATGAGGAGGAAATAATAAATTAACAGAAAGTACAAACAAATTAAATTAAATTAAATTAAATTTAACTTTTATTTTTACATTTCAGGTCCTGTAAAAGTCTGTCCAGATGTGAGAAAGTCCACTTGCTAAATGTCCTCTTTAGCAAATAAATTCTTTAATTTTTTTCACATTAAGCAGGTTCATTTTTCAAAGAGTTTTGTATTACGAAAATGCCTAAATTGTCTCTCTCAGTAAAGCTGTACTTGCATAAGTAAATATTCACAAACTGAGGTCTTACTAACCAACCCGGAGCAGCTGGTGAGAGAGCTTACTTGAGGAAGCAAGAGGCAGCATGAAGTGCAGAGATCTAGGACAACACAGTTAATGTAATCATTTCAGGCACAGTCACTGACAGTTCAAATATATATAACTGCATAAGTTATTTGTATATTTAACATTAAAAAAACCTAAACAAACTAAACTTTAGAACAATTTTCCGAAGTATTTCCTGTTAAAGTACTTTCAACACTTATTTTTGCAATCAAAAGAAAAAGCAGTTTAGTAGCTCTAGGGAAGATGTTCAAGAAATGACAGGCAGCAGGGAATACAGTACTGATTTTTCTCAGATGAAGTGATTATTAGCACTGAGGAAACAATCAGGAAACATGAAGAGTCAGCATCTTAGCTGCTGTATCCTGGACAAGGACAAAATCTTATCAAGTTCCAGCTATAATGAAATAGGGAACAGGGTGCCAGTGCATAAAATACCCAAATTCTTAATGATGGCATTGTATCAGCGTCTAAGAGACTGAAAGTTAATAATTTTAAAATTCCACACCTAGTGTGAGCAAGCAGTTCACTGAAGGATGAAGTGAAAAGTGTTTTCTTTTGTGCACATATACATTTTATATTTTCACGTATGTATGTAATGCTTGAAGCATATGGACACCTAGATGCTAGCTGCTGTGTTATACACAGAGCAGTGCTGTCAAAGCAATTAGGCACAGCTAGAATTCAGTCTGTTTCTTTGTAACAGTTTCATATTACTGGAGATGAAATACATGGTTTTCAGCTTTTATAGCTACTCAATCAGTTTTGGTTATTAATACATAACTGAGTTCTTTCTCTTTAAACTCCAAGTCTCTGATCCTCGTTCTCTTTAAAATACTTCCCTACATTACCTCTTCACCTGAGACCAAAGGGGAGATGGGGAAATACCCAAATCCCCTTGGATTAGTCCTTGCTAAGGAAGACCTCAGCCCTTCAGGCCTGGCCTCCCCTGCCCTACCCTTAAGCCGTGGTGCCCTCCAAAGCCGCTGGCCTCAATCTGCCTGTGAACGGTGCCGGGGGCTGGCTGCAGAGCTCGCTGCCCTCAGCTCCAGCCTGCCCAGCAGCGCACACACCTGGGCACGGGCACTTCCCAAACGGTGCCAACCTGCTTGGGAGTTATCCACCGCGGCGGGAAGCACAGCAGGCACCCACAGTGCTCAACGCTGAGCTGGGAGCCCAGGGCAGAGCTCTTCCTCGGAAGACAGAAGCCAAGGCACTTGCACTCTTGCTATGGATTCACAGCTGGCTGGTGCCAATCAAGGAGAGAGGCTAGGACACAAACCACAGAATTACAAACACAAATATTTATTCTTGCATCTAAAGTGCCCCAGCCAAACTGGGCACACCCCTGAGATTTTGCTTTAGGAGTTTTACACAATGGTATGATATGAATCACCTAATTACCCACTGGTGCTTATTTCTAATTATCCAATCAAAAATGTGGCAGGGCAAAGCTACTCTATTTCCGTACATCTTGCAGCAGCATGCATTAGCATCCTTTTGATTTATGCTAATCCAGATGCTCCTGCATTCAACTTCTGCAAAGTTACCGAGCATCAGCAACTCGAGCTGCTCTTTCAGATACGGATCCCTTGGTGAATTTTGGCAAAAAGTTTCCTGTGTGTTCTTAGTAGGGGCAGACGACGCCTCTTGGATCGTGAGACAGCACTGCAATACGGACCGCACATACACACATCCCCAGCACACCAAAAACGCTCCGGCCCCTAATGACCGCAGGGTCTCAGCACTCTACGGCATGCTTCCCACGCCGCCGGCCCGGGACGGGGCTGCGGGAGCACCCGATGGAGCGGGAGCACCCGGTGGAGCGGGAGCACGGCGGGCACCGCTCCCGCCCGGCCCGGGCCGCGCCGCGGCCGCGGGCAGGTGACCCGCCCCGCTGGGTACACGCGTGAGTGTCGCCGGGGGGGCCGGCGCGGCTCGGGGCTCCCGCTCGGGCGGGGGGGCCGCTCGGAGCCCGCGGGGCCGGGACCCGCGTCCCGGCGCCGCCGCGGTCACATAGCTGGGCAGCCCCGGCCCCCGCGGGCAGGAGCCGTGGGGGAGCCGAGCGGAGCGCTCGCAGTGCTGTGCCCCGGCCAGGGGAGCTGCTCGGCGGCTCGAAAGGAGCCGGAGTTGGTGCTCGGTGTCACTTGCGCTGCCTTAAACGCTGGAACTGAAAGGACCGGCGGCGGAGCGGGGAGCTGTGAGGTGGTAAATAGGTCCGGTTAATTTCAGCTTTTAAATGAACCCCTGGGCTCAGTAAAGCCCCGAGCCGGTGTGGCTTTCTGGGGTAACCCCGTGGCTGGGGTACTCTGTCAGCGCTTAAAGCGGACCTCCAAGTTAAGGCAGAAGTGTTGCTATGCTGCACATACAGTAAAGCCCCATATGTTTAGGATTTTCTTTTTTTTTTTTTTCCTCCCTGTTAGAAAGTTTGAAAAAAAGAGACTTTGAAGTATTTTGTTTATACTAACAGAAGAGAAAAGTTCTCCTAAGAAAAAGCTGGTGGCAGGAGTGTAGAGGAGTAGCATATGGCATTAAAAGGAGCACAGCTGGAGGTAGCATTTCCATCTGAACATGATGTCAGAGCAGCTGACAGCCTGCCATCCCTCAGCCTTTTATTCTAACACACAGACAGGGAGTTAGTGTGTGCAGATCTGTGTGTGGAGAAGGTATCTCATTCCTCTCTAACATCATCTCCACTTTGCATCTGTCTCTCCTAGTCTGCTTTTTTTCCACCGATCTAACAGACCTGGAGCCAGCAAGACTCAGAGGAAAGGACTTAATCAGGTTTATGTGTACTAAAGGTAGGAGTAGCAATAGATTAGATACAGCATATTTCTGTTTTGGTGTGTTGTTTATTGAATTTTAGAAAAAAAATCACATTACTTTTCTAACCAAGTTTAGAGGTAATATATGAAATTGAGTATTAAATAGATAAGTGGACTTAGTCAAAAGGCTTGGACTACAGTTGGAGAGTATCAGTTCTTGGGCACATTGTTAGCATTAACTTTAATGCATATTGTGGGAATGTCTTGGTTTGGAAGAAGGAGAGAGCAAGTTCATCCTGAATTTCTGAGACCAAAACTGCAATGGATTTAGTGGCAAGCCTATAGAGAGTTTTGCTTTATGTTCTTGTCTTGCATCTTTTAAATTACTTTACAGGGGTTTTAATGAAATATACAAGAGTGTGGGATTTTACAAAAGGACCTTCCTGGCTAAAATGTGTTTGTAGGGAAGTCTTTCGTTACATGGTTAAATATCCAGTAGCTCAGAAATGTGGTAGCATACAGCTGTAGTGCTTCTGAAAGATAGAAATCAGTTATGTGTTTAAAAACTTTTGTACCCGGGAGAATGGCTTGACTGGTTTCCTCTTTTCTTCCTTGCATGTAGCATTTGAAATCTTTTATTTAGTGTAACAATAATTATTTGAAGGAGTTTTTGTATTTGCGACTAATTTAGAACTTGTAGATTTGAGCTGCCTGAATTGGCCAGACAGCTGTAATCGCACTCCTCTATTCTTAATCTCTTTATCTGGGCAGCAGCTGCCATATGGCCACAGTCAGCTGGATCAGATGTTTATAAGCTTCCTTCTTCGTCCCTCTCTGTCCTTTCAGCCTCCTAATTTGATCACAGCTACCTTGTGAGCTGCCCTCCAATCTTTATTTTTAGCCCTCTTAAGGATTAGGATTGATGTTGGCTGTGGGGCACTTAAAGTGATTGTATTGTAAATCTTCATGGTTTACTCTAGCAATGGTATTTTACAGAATATAGTAGGGCTTGTGTTGTAAGTTTTAGTACATCTTGGTTTGCAAAGGATGAAGGTTTTTCAATAATATCTGCCAGCCTGGAGAGTCACGATCTGCTTAGATGGTTTGGGAGACCATTGCTATCAATCACAGAAGAATAGATTAACATAGGTTTTTAAAAGATTTTACTTTCCATTTGATTTTTGACTTCTTTACTTCTTTTTAAGTTTATTTTGTCTTTATCATCAAGGAAGGCAAATAAAATACACTTGGGTAAGAACAGTACTTGGGATACTCTTTCTAAACGTGGACACACGCTCACGTTGAATGGTTGAATGACTTTTTTTTTTTTTTTAAAGCTTAGTACTGCAAACTCTGCCTGGTGTGGGAGGGGAGGGAAATTTCTGTCCTTCTGCACTGGGGAAGTGGTGCTCGTTGGCGTTTTGGTTGTTAGCTTTCTTTTGTATATTCTGCATGTTGGCAAAAAATGTTCATGTTCTATTGTACAGTGTGGAAAAGGTTTAAAACCTTAAAAAAACCTGTACTTACAGAGAAGAAAGCCACATGAACTAAATTTGTAAAAATGTCCATTTTTGCTGTTGATATAAATTTACACATGTAAATAATTTTTGTAGTTTATGAACGTTAGACTTGGGTATACAGATTTGGGTATACTAATATTTCTTCATGTGAGAACCTCTCCTGTTACTACAATTTGACTTTAAAAAGAAGGTAGATGATCTGGTACATTTTTTCTGCTGCTTCTGTGATCTCTCAAACTTTGTGCTTAAAAAAAATTTATTTTTTTTTGGTGGTGGTGGGGGGGCTTGCCCTCCTAGGGACTCAATCTGGAGGAAGTTCTCTAAAAAAAAAAACCAAACTGTTGAACAGATTTTATGAACAGCAGTGATACTTTAAAAAAAAATTGCAGATGTACCCATGCGCTCAATAGACCGGCTTATTTACCACAGAAAGGAAATCATGACTGTAGTGGTCAGTCGGGGAAAGAGTTGCCATCGTACATTTGTGTTAAATAATCTTTGCGTGGTGTCAGCACCAGAATTTCGGCAATACAGATACCAGGTTTTTAGAGTGGAATTGCTTGGATTTGTAAGTTCTGTGATTCTGACCTACATTTAATTTTTAAAAATTTTGTTGCTTATAGGTTATGAAGACAGTATGGAGTTTCCTGACCACAGTAGACATTTGCTACAGTGTCTGAGTGAGCAGAGACATCAGGGTTTTCTTTGTGATTGCACTGTTCTGGTAGGAGATGCCCAGTTCCGAGCGCACAGAGCTGTACTGGCTTCATGCAGCATGTATTTCCACCTCTTTTACAAGGACCAGCTGGACAAAAGGGACATTGTTCATCTGAACAGCGACATTGTTACAGCCCCAGCTTTCGCTCTCCTGCTTGAATTCATGTACGAAGGAAAGCTCCAGTTCAAAGACTTGCCCATTGAAGACGTGCTAGCAGCTGCCAGTTATCTCCACATGTATGACATTGTCAAAGTCTGCAAAAAGAAGCTGAAAGAGAAAGCAACCACGGAGGCAGACAGTACAAAAAAGGAGGAAGACGCCTCAAGTTGTTCAGACAAAGTGGAGAGCCTCTCCGACGGCAGCAGCCACATGCCAGGAGACTTGCCCAGCGATGAAGATGACGGAGAAGATGAAAAATTGAACATCCTGCCTAGCAAAAGGGACTTGGCGGCTGAGCCTGGGAACATGTGGATGAGATTGCCCTCAGACTCAGCAGGCATTCCCCAGACTGGCGGAGAGGCAGAGACGCACACAGCAGCAGCTGGAAAAACAGTAGCCAGCCCCTGCAGCTCAACAGAGTCTTTGTCCCAGAGGTCTGTCACCTCCGTGAGGGATTCAGCAGATGTTGACTGCGTGCTGGACCTGTCTGTCAAGTCCAGCCTTTCAGGAGTTGAAAATTTGAACAGTTCTTATTTCTCTTCGCAGGACATGCTTAGAAACAGCCTGGTTCAGGTGAAGGTGGAAAAAGAGGCTTCCTGTGATGAGAGTGATGTTGGCACTAATGACTATGATATGGAACATAGCACTGTGAAAGAAAGTGTGAGCACTAATAACAGGGTACAGTACGAGCCGGCCCACCTGGCTCCGATGAGGGAAGATTCGGTCTTGAGGGAGCTAGATAGAGAGGACAAGGCAAGCGATGATGAAATGATAACTCCAGAGAATGAGAGAGTCCAGGTGGAAGGAAACATGGACAGCAGCTTGCTCCCTTACGTGTCAAACATACTTAGCCCTGCTGGCCAAATTTTCATGTGTCCTCTCTGCAACAAGGTCTTTCCTAGCCCCCACATCCTGCAAATTCATTTAAGCACGCACTTTCGAGAGCAGGACGGGATCCGCAGCAAGCCTGCTACCGATGTCAATGTCCCGACCTGCTCGTTGTGTGGTAAGACTTTTTCTTGCATGTACACCTTGAAACGTCATGAGAGGACTCATTCAGGTGAAAAGCCCTACACTTGCACCCAGTGTGGGAAGAGCTTCCAGTACTCCCACAACCTGAGCCGCCACGCAGTGGTTCACACGCGGGAGAAGCCTCATGCTTGTAAGTGGTGTGAACGCAGGTTCACACAGTCCGGAGACCTTTACAGACACATTCGGAAGTTTCACTGTGAGTTGGTGAACTCATTGTCTGTCAAAAGCGAAGCACTGAGCTTACCTACTGTCAGAGACTGGACCTTAGAAGATAGCTCACAAGAACTTTGGAAATAAAATTTTTATATATATAAATAATATATATATAAATCTATATAGTTGTGGTACAGTCTAAAAGCAATCTTGTTTCCTTGAACTGAAAGTTTGGCTATTAGCTTGTTTTTGCACTTTAAGGCAGCATGAATATTTCACTAATTTAGCACTCCAATAAAAATGAATTGTAGAGGTAATCCGACAAAGTAACTAATTGCGGAGCGTATTTTTCCCCCTTTTCGGAATAGAAGCCAGCGGATACTTTACTTCTAAGGAATCTCCAATTCAAAAATTTGGACGTGGCTTTATTCTCCCCAAAACACTGCGTTCTTTTAAACTCTTGATCTTTTTCCCTCTTAAAATCTGAATGTAGAAATCCTCTCCCAATTTTGTCAGTTCCTTTACATTTCTATAATTGCATGAGTCCTTTCTAGCTGTTGGAAACCTGAATGCTTTTAGACCCAAATGGAAAATTTCTGAAATGCTGGATTATCTATTTTTAAACAAGCGGTTGACTTAAAACTTATTATGGCAACTTCTGGATTTCTGACAGTTCCCACTGGAAAAAAAAAAAACCACAAAAAAACCAACACAAAAACATAAAACAAAAACCCTGAGAGTACACTGGGATCACTGGGACTCTGTCTTACGTGAAGGTTTGCTTGGGATGAAAAAGGATATTGCAGCTTCAGCAGTGATGAACTGTGTGTTTAAAAAATGTGAATTACTGTTATTGTATACTGTAATTGATTACATGGGCCGGGGGGAGGTATCAAAGAACTTGGCAGGTTGTGTTGATGCTCTTAGTTGAGTCTTGAAAAGTAAATATTAACGCTACAGAAATGCATGATTTTCAGTATATTTTTGTCTTTGTTTGCATTGTATAACTTTAACGAGTGAGTTGAAAATTATTTAATTTCCTTAGGAAAAAAACCTGACACCGTTGAAAATGCCAGTGTTATAAAGACGAGAAATGCACTGTTTTTATTTTATCTAATTTAAATTTACTTTCCCACTGTCTTTAAGTTGAGAAGAACTTAAGCTACGAGTTGCCGATTTAGCTACGTTAACAAGGAGAAAAAAATTGAATGTTTACAACCAGGCTTCGAGATTTGCATGTGCGGTGTGCATTTACTAACCCCAGACCCCTTCTAATTGCACAGACCCCACGCCAGCTCCAACTGAGGTGCGTCCATTTCCCCAGATGAGCATTTGTAGGATTCCTGCTGCACCACTCCACCACAATAGGTCGTTCTTTTTTTTTTTCCCCCCCGTTGAAAAGAGGCTGTGGACTGAAAAAAAAAAAGCAAAAAAAGCCCCGGGCTGAAAGGCCTGGGCAGGCCTGAGTGACAGGGGGGCCGGGGGGGCCGGGGAAGGACTATGCGTATCCAAGCAGCAGAGACTGCAGCCTGACGTGTGGTTTTAATGACCAACACGCAGGTCAAAAGCATTTTGCACAGTGTTTGTTTTCCTGTCTTGCACTTACAAATAAGGTCTATGGGAGTAGCATGGAAAACGTTTGCTGTTTTTTCCTTTTTTTTTTCCTTTTTTTTTTTCCTCTGCTTTTGTTTAAAATTTGATCGCCTTAACTACTGTAAACATAGCCTATTTTTGTGCTTAAGATACTGAATGGAAAACTCCATTGTGTATTGCTGGACTGTTTTGGAAATATTTGGTCAAATGTGTGTTAATTTGGCTGTAATGGCATTTAAAACAAAAAAAAAGCTGTGAAAATGGCCTTGGAGCGTTATCTTTAGTTACTTGAATAGTTTCTAGGTTTAAAACTACATTCTTTTCTTAAGTTAGAAAAGACAATCAGTGTCTGAGGAAAATGGACTTTCTCTTGGATTTTTTTGTGGTCCTCGTGAGTGATTGCTTTTTCCTTTCCTTAGTTTCACATTCTTCTTTTGTTCTAAAACTTAGACTGACATCTAGCTTTGACAATCATAGTATGTTTTATTTTCCTGAGGAGGGAATAACTTATAATGCTGTTTAGTTTTGTACTATTGGTGTGTTGGTGAATTTTTAAACTGTGTGCTAACTGCAATAAATTATATGAACTGAGAAATCAATTCCCTTGTCTTTTTTCCCTCTTTTAAATTATAGTTATGGAGTATTTTTTATATTGTGTAACTTTATTACTTTTGTACAGACTTCTATTGCTAACTGTGTATGGAATATGTTTTCAGTATGCTTTTGGGCACTTTGTTGCTACCATGCATATTTACATCTCACTTAACATTTTAAAAAATTAAATGCTTGTGTTTTGAAAGCATTTCTCTGTGTGCAGCTCTTGATCATTCTATAGAGGTATTTTTTAATAATAATTATTTTTTACTTCCCCAAAGACTTTTGCAGAAGCAGTCTATTGAATTCCAGAAATTTTGTTGCCATGCAAATATCTGTGCAGGCACACAATTCCCTTTGTCGGCTTAATTTCACTCCAAGGAGCTCTCTTGGGCTCACTTTCTTGATATATCAGTCTCTATGAGAACAGCAGAGCAGAAGGCAACAACTTAATCTGAAGCATTGGCCGGGTGCTGACTGGCTGTCAGTGTTACAGTAGGCAGTCAAAATGTCCAAAGTACTGGTAACACATCAAAGCTGTCTGGACTACAGAGAAAAATGGAAATAATCCTAAATCTTTTGGGTATTTCTCTTACAGACTATATGTTTCTCTAAAAATAAAAATATAGAAGCTTAGCTAAACCTTTGAAAAAGACCTGGTTTAGATGCTTGTTGCAGGATATACCCAGAATTCTTGTTTGAGGCTGCTCTGTCCTAGGAATGAGACCAGCACTGTGGAGCCCAATGGGAATACGAAAGTAGGGCTAAATCAGGAGGCTGGAACAGAGACAGCAGGGCCACTTTGATGGGGGAAAAATACCTTAATTTAAACATTTCATTACAATTATCATCTGCCTAGGTACAACTCAAGTTGTGCAGTGACCAAGTGAATCTCGGTGCCTAAGCTATTCTGCTTGTCTTCCTACATCAGCAGTAATTTGTATGTAGCCAAAATTATCTTTTTCGCTGTTTTATTCTTTACGACAATTTTCAATCACCCTTTGCTGTGTTTGTGGTGTGGGTTTTTTGTGTTATTAGAGATATTTTGAAAACATTTCCTTCTGTCAATTAGCATCTCCGGTCGCATAGAATTCCTTGTTTTCTAGCAGCAGACCTTTTCTGTAGGCTTTCAGAAGGTACAATATTATGTGTAGTTAAGATGGGTTTAAGTATCGTCAAGACTGAAAGACAGCTAATATTGCAGTGCTGAAATCTGTGCAGCTGATGAGCTTTGGCTGTGGCTCCAGGCAGATTCACCATTTGTTCTCCAACATTAAGATTTTCAAGGATTGTAGATTCCCAAATAAAACTAGACTTAGAAGGAGTCCTTCTTCAGAAGGGAACAGAAAACAAAAATTAGCTGTTAGTGGCACAAATAATTGAAAATATTCTTTATACTTTTGTGGTTTATCTAGAGATGGTTTGTATGTGTGCAGCACACACTTGTGGCCGTCAAACTGTTTCTTTACTGAAAAGATGAAACATACTCCCGTGTGTTGCTTCTCTCCACAGCATTTAATGTGCTGACTTACCTAAATAGCTGAATAGCTGTAGCATTTTTCTTCTTTCCTCTTTTTTTTTTTTTTTAATACAGTCCCTAGATCATGGAGCATGAATAAGCATTTTCTTTGGCTTGAGGATATTGTGGTAACAAAATCCTCACCGTTTGTGTTGCCATGATGGTTGAAGGCCAGGCGCGGGAATGGAAGCTGCGCTCTAAACTTCGCGGGTTCAGACAACTTTCTCTGACCGGTGATAGTCATCACTTTTTAACTGTGAGTACTCCTAGACTGACTCACAGGGAAATATAATTTGGCTGGGTTTTTTTTAAATCACTGCATCACTGCCCATAACAGCTTAATATTCTTTTAGTTATGAGTGCTTCCTCTAAACTGAAGCTTAGGCGTTTGGTGGGACAGAGACTTTTGAACCAGACACAGCGTTCTGCAGAACATCTACTTACTGAGATCTGTGTGCATTAGGTGCAATTTGAAAAACTTGGTAGGAGTTTAAAACAAAACTTTCTGGCCAAGGAAGGGAAGGGCTCCTCATTGTTTTTCATTCTCTCCTGCCTTAGGGTAAAAATGAGTGCCAAACAATTGCATGTACTTCTGTTGACCCTCAATGAAGCTAGTATATTCCCTCAAAACTTGCACTGCCTTGTTGGAAGCCTCAACAAAATTTTTTAATTAATTTGCAAAGCTACAGATTCCCTTTTGCCCTGTGCTGGTTCACCTGTTCGGGCCGGGCACTGCTGTTCTCTCTCCCTGTGACAGCATAACTCTGCTTTCCTACTACAGATAATGGAGCAAGTGATATGGCAGTGGACTGAATGCCTCCCACCTTGCCCAGCTGAACCTGCAATAATCAAATGCTCTAACGTTTTAATTGATTCCTAATAAGCATAAGCAACTTCAAAAATACATTTTTCTAGCCTACTCAAAAATGAAACTCTGAGCCCACTGTATTATGATCAGCGATGGTGCAGCAATTTGTGGCTGAGGCAAACTTGGAAGGGGAGAAAATTTCTACCGGCTCCCTCCCCTCACTTTGAAGCAATGCAAATTCCTTTGGAATGAAGGTTAAATATGTTTCAATCCTGCAAAAATACCCCAAAATTAGAAAATTGATGTTACAATGTTGTCATATAATTCTCTGAGGCCAGATGCTCAAACTTATACATTATTAACGCTCTTTGTCCATGTGATTTCCAAACTGAAATATATCCAGAGTATGGGCTTTTATTAAAGAAAGCTAACCAAAGCATTAAGGTTTTCTTACTGGCACAGTAAATGTGAATTTTAACAGAATTGTCTTTATATTTTTAAAGGGAGGAAGAAACAATGCATAAATCTTTTGGGCTCTCCCAAAATATTCTACTTCAGGAGTCCTGTGAAAATTTTGTAACTCTTCATTCAGATTTTAATTGTGTCATTAATGTAGTGATTTTGGTCATAAAAAATATTTTCTACATGGTGAGAGAGGAGTCGGTGCTTTATTTGTATGAGTGTTTTTGAACTGAAGATAAAGGTTCCCTTTTGCTGGCAAATGTGGACAGACAGAAGAGTCCTGCTTCTTGAAATCTACAGTCAGCAGCTCCTGCTAGCATGATAAAATTCAACTGAACTTGTGAGTGGGTCTTACCAAATAGAAATGGTCCTTTTTAGAAAGGTTATCCATTTTGTTTTCATAGGCTAAAAAAGGAAGTATTACTTTCAATCAATTGTCAAAGTGAAATGCTCTTGGTGCAAATTATCGGCAGCTTACGCGGCGCTGCCGGAGCAGGAGAGGGGCGAGCCTTCTGCTCAGCCAGGCAGCAGGAAAGCCAAAGGTGCTACAGGCTGAACTCTGGCAGGGATGGCAAATGCTGCAGAGGTTTCCAGCTACAGAGATGCTTGCAAAAACCAAAAAAAAACCAAACCAAAAAAAACCCAAAAAAAAAAAAATTTCTTGTTTTCAAAAATAACCCATGTTTGAGCTGGAGTGTTTCTCTTACATTGGACCTTCTTGGGTTAGTCAGTTTTTCCCACTAACTGAACTCGTTTAAGTTGTCTGCTTATTATCCTCAGGTTCATTTTGCTTTAGTTCAGTTTCTTGCTTTCAGGCTTGTTTTCCTTAGAAGACAGTTGTTCCACTAATACACCATCCTCTTCTGCAGAATGGATACAGTTTTCATTCTTGATAACTCCTTAACATCAACCATTTGTGGCAGGGGGACACAAGTCCTCAATCCTGTGTAAAACCGTCCCCTCCCTGGGACAGACTTCGTGCCTCTCCTGTACTACAGCTGTTACCGGGGGGCCAAATTTTCTTTTCTTTTTGAGACATTACAGCCTGGCTTTAGCAAGGTTTTGCTTGGGGCTGCAAAGGAGAAGGAAGGTATGCAGTCTAGCCTCGGAACTGAAATTAATGTGTGATTGTGTACTTTAGGGATTGCAGGAAACAAGTAAATGTTTGAATGCAAAATACAACTGGTGAATATTTTGTAGGACATTTTAATGTGCACCGTTCTTAAAGTCAGTGTTGTGCTTTAAAATGCATATTGTGTATGAACATATGTTTGTGCATGTGAGGAAGTAGTTAAAAATCACTTGCTAATTTTTATTTAGGTGTGCATCAAAATCATAGCCTGAGTAATTCCTTAAAGATCTTTAGAAGACATGTTTAGTGCTCATACGTAGCAGCCAACACAATGAGGTCTTGTGCAACCTTGCTTGTGATTCCGCAGTTATCAGTGCTAATCTGAGCATCAAGAAGGATTTTTTTATGCCACGTCCAGAACATGCCAGATAGGGATTTACACAGCACATCCCCAGCCATAACAACCTAGTGCATGAAACCCAGCTTTAAATTAGTAAAATATTTAAAGAGCAAGTTACATGTACATCATGACTTCCGAAAGGATTTAACTGGTAAAGCAATATGTTACTGCCTCAGTACTACAGGAGGTATATTAAAAGGCTTAACTGTCTCGAAACAGCTCCACGGCATGGTATACACTGTATCTGGATGTAAATCTAGATAGGGATTTAAATATTTCTTTCACAACCTTCCCAAAATACAGTTTTGTTAAGTTTTATTTATATCTATTAAGAAAATAAAAACTAGTCTCGATGCTGTATTTTATGCTTTTGTCAAATAGTCTTCAATTTTAGCATTAAAGCTACTTTTTTTAAACTTTTGGATGTGTTCCCAATATACATTTTACAATTTTTTTTTACCATTTTAAAAATGTACTTTATCTATAAATAAAACTCCTTGAAACTGATAGAGGTTTATCATACAAGATATAATTTATTTTCAACTACATTTGCCATGTATTCACACTTAGTGAGGATTCATGTTGAGATAATTTTGGAAATTCATACCAAGATAAAAAATATAGTTAAAGTCTTAATGAAATATATTCTGTCTTCATAGGCTATAGCCACCAGGTCTTAATTTTCTGTAGCTTATTCTCTCTTTTTTAAAGTAGTTTGACTGGCACCATACATCCAAAATATGA